CTGGATTTTGAGCCCATCTCTGCAGCTTAATTGCTGGGTGACCTTGGGAAGACACTTAGATCCTTAGAATCTCAGTGTCCCCTTCTGTAAATTGGACTACTTAGGTCTACTTGGCCAGGTTGTTATGAGGTTTAGAGATAACGAAATGCCTACTAGAGTGCCTGGCTAAAGCAGATGCTCAGTAAATCACAGTGACTTGTGTTTTGCTGTAATGGGTCTCCTGGCAGGCCACCAGGAAACATACTCTGGCATTATAGAGTGCCCCAGATTCCTGAGGGCTTGGCATTCCTCTACCTTGAAGGGAATTAGCAGTAGTGCCCTAGTATGGACCCAGAATAGGAAACTGAAGTCCTTACACAGAGTTGGGCATAGAGTTAGTGTTTGTTGAGTTGAATTGAGAGTTCACCTTTCCTTAGGATGTGTCTTAGCCTGGGGGCTCATGGCAGCTTGAGTCCATCTACCATCCTGGAAGTTCCCCCTGTCAGTGCTTCACCCTCTAACACTCCCCTGAATCATCCTGTGGAGGAGGCAACCAGATCATCTTCCTCTCCCTTGGAACCCGATTCGGAGGCAGAGCAGGATGGTAACGCTGATCCAAGTGTCTCTAACAGGGTCTTGACATAACCCTTGACCATAGCGTACACAAGCAGGAGACATTTTAGAATAAAGTCACTCGTAGAGTGCTTGGTGCTCTCTTCATATTACTATAATTCTAATTGTTGCTTTATCCCTTGAGAGAGATGGGTCTTTTTGAGAGCAGTGTTATCCCACGGCACTGATGAGAAAATTGAGTAGAACCAAACAGAACAAACGTGGCGGAAGCAAGAATTAGAATTGAAAATCACTGGCCCCTTCTGGTTTTCTCCAGTGCCAAGTCATGTTTTGCTCATTTTATTTGGCCAGTGAGGTAAAACCCCACACGGAGAGGAGGGAGTTACCGTTCCATAATGGGTTAAAATCAAACCCCATTGTCCCAAGTGAGGCCTTCAGACAGGCTGCCTCCCTGCATTTTTCCATGTCAAAATGCTCAAAAATATTTCCCTTGTGCTGTAGCAATGTAGCCAAGTCAAGTCTTCAGTAGTAGAAGTGCTCTGGGGTGCCTGGGTGGCTCAGTCGTTAAGCGTCTGCCTTCGGCTCAGGTCATGATCCCAGGGTCCTGGGATCGAACCCCGCATCGGGCTCCCTGCTCGGCAGGAAGCCTGCTTCTCCCTCTCCCACTCCCCCTGCTTGTGTTCCTGCTCTTGCTATCTCTCTCTCTGTCAAATAAATAAATAAAATCTTAAAAAAAAAAAAAGTGCTCTGAATATTTGTAGACAGAACCCCATTCCCAAAAGGCTCTATTAGCTGTATTTGCATAGAAAACAATCGCATCAATACGGTGAACACTGACAATTCTTTTATTTGACTTTTAGATCCAGTGAGACGGACCTGGAAGTGTTTTTCTGGCTACCATTTGGTCTATTTAACTCCATTGTTGGAAAGGTTTCTCAGACTCCAGCCTTGTCCTTCTAATTTATATCCACAGATTCAGTTTCAGGTCTGAGAATTAGCAGCCAATTTCACGTGTCATTTCAGTCCATAAAGAGACAGAAAGTACTTTCTCATCAAAACAGCCCCTTCACCCCTTTGTCCTCCCAATCTCAGCCTGAGACCCCGCCGCTCTAGTTGACTTTTCCTCACTTTTTACCCTGCTTCCTCCCCTCACTGGTCTGGAGATCAGAAGAATCCACAGCAGTGGTCCCTTCCATCCCCTGCTCCCCCTGTCCTGCCCCTCCTGCACCTCCCCTCCTATACCTCCCCGCCTCTCCCTGCCCCTCCCCGCCACCACGGAGCCTGTCGGTCCAGCCCTGCCTTCTCTCCAGCCAGCCCTGCACCCCTGGGAAGCGCTCAGGGAGCCCTGCAATCTCTGCACATGCTGAGCTTTTCATTGTATGTGCTCCACCCAATAGTTTTTGATTCATGAATATTAAATAATTAGAGCTCACCCGGCTGGACCTCCGTCCTGCACCCTTTAAAAACGTAATAGCTTTTTTATTTCATGGCACTTGACTTTGTTTATTCAGCACGATCAGGGCAGCATTCAGGCTATAGCAGGCCTGTTAAATATTTACCCACAAGACGGATATTTATACATGAATCAGCAGCACTTATCAGTATATGATGCTGGCAGTCAGGTTCAGTACCCTCACAAGCTGAGGAACTACTGAGTTAAAGAAAGGGTGCAGTAAGTGTCCTTTTAAAAATAAATCCAGCGACTGTGGTTGTTTGATGGTTGGGGTGGGAGAGACTGAGGTAGGAGCAAAATGCACGGGAATGCTTGCTCTGCTGCGGGGTGGAAAATTGTAAAGAGAGATGAGGTGTACATCACAGAGCCTGCTTCAGTGGTGGTCTGGGTGCTTCTGGAAGCCCGATGGCATCACTGCAGTCCCGACCTGGCTCACGGGGGGCCACACCCTCTGTTTCTTCCCATCCCTGGAGCTGTTTCAAGAGTCAAATCCCCCTGCTCTCAGGGAGGCACGGAATCCGGCAGTAACAGCGTGGACTCCGGCAACAGGCCAACCCGAGTTCAGATCTTGGCTTTACCATCTCCTAGTTGTGTGAACCCAAGGGAATTTCTTCTGCTGTCTGAGCCTCAGTTTCTTCACCTGTAGAATTACAGTGCGAATTCTCACCTCACTGAATTGTGGGGAGGATTAAATTAGGTAATGAGAAAGCACCTAGCAACAAGTGTTAGTTTCCAATAACCACAGAGTTCAGAGAGATGGGCCCGCTGGCCAAGCAACCAGTCTTTGGACTTCTCCACACCTCTGCCTCTTTCCATCATTATAGGTAATTTTTTTTTAATGGCTATGTGTCAGAAGCAGAGGGAGTCTCAAGTTTAGAGGATTACCCACAGACTATTTTCATTTTTTTGTATTCATTTTAATGAATGATTAAGAACTTGTCCTGTAATATTGTACACAGGTCGAAGCCCATTGTAATCAATTCCAGGTAACTGTCCAAATTATTTTATTTTCTGGAATTTCATTATGCTAAAGATTGTTCTTCCAAGTATGCTACGAGAAGCCTGAATCTTGGTATTTCTATGTTATACAGGTATTTCCCCCCAGGAACGACAAGATAAAAATATTGGATCTCTTTCTCTTGTACTATAGAATTTTCTTCTTAATCAGTTTCCATCCTAATGGAACTGTTAGAACCTTCCACTTAGAAGTGTGCTCTCTATGTACTTTTGCATACAAAAGAGGGGACAAAAAGCCTTCTTCCAGTACACAAGAAGTCATAGGAATTTTCCTAGCTTTCTTCGGAGTTTAGGCTGAACCTCCTCCAATGTCTGCTCTGAGAGTAGCAAACGGAAGTGATGTTCTTGCTGATTCTGTGCAGTTGCAGACTGTAGATGATTCATTAATGTCATACTTAGTCAAATGCTGTCTCATAATTTTCTCAGTTGTCAGGGTTGTTGTGCTTTTTAGGTCTCATCTGAATAGAAAAAGTCAACAGCAAATATTTCCACCCCGTTGACTTCCTCACATCACCCGGGATTTTATTCACGTGTTGGGGCTTTTTCATTCCATAAATAAATAAACGTAATATCCATTTCTACTGGAAAAATTAATTTCAGGAATCTTTGGTCAATAGGGAGACAGGCTGGGTCTAGGACCCTTTCAGTACTTACATGTATTGTTCCCTGTACTGCAAACCCTAGGCTAAGTCTGTCTGCTCTAAACTATTTAAGAATGATTTTCTAGACTGTTATTGTGAAACACTTTGCTTCCATTTACAGCCTTGTAACTAGGGATTTGGTTAATGAATAATCACAGCATTAACGGATCTTAGGGGTCTCTTTATACCCCATCATATTACAGAGGTGGTTTAAGGGGCTTTTACAGTAAGAAACGTATACGTTAAAATAAAATTCAAACAAGAAAAGCAAATTAGGACCAAAGGAAAGTGAGAGTAGGAAAGAAGATGAAATCAAGATTAAGGATGGGATATGAAATGTATACTGTGAGGTTCTGAGCAGTTTCTTTAATAATGGTATGCTGGTTGATTTAAACTGAAAGGGAATCTCCACGAAAGTCCTGGAAACTATTTCTGGATCAGTGTTGTGTCTTAGTGCTTGGATCAATGATTTTTGACTGTACCTTCTTGTTTAGATGAATGTCAGTGTTGACTTGGACTAGTTGCAGACTTTACCCATATTGACCAACAGACACAGGATGGAGCAGCACAGTGTTTCAGAAGATGTTTAGTTAGTTGCCACCGTTTAAAACTTGAGAACTTAAATCATCTGGATTTCTGGCTTCCCGTGAAAAATAAGGGTCTGTGAAGACCAGGCTTGTGTTTCCACCATGGCAGAGATTAGCTGGAGTTGGAGGGTGGAGAGCCCTTCCCACTGTGCAGAAACTACAGTTCTCTGTGCTCATTTATATCACTTCCCTGGGCTGGGTGGAGCCTGGAGTCTGCAGCCCCTGCCCTGCACCACTGGCCCCACACTAAACTCCAGGAGGCTAAAGCCCCAGGAGGCTTCCCCCGGGCAATAAAGCTGGTAAGGGGCAGAGCCAGTCCTTCCATTGCACCATGGTGGTGCTGAAGGAATTCAGTTCAGTTCAGTATGGGGGTTTAAGGAATGACTTCTCTTTGCCCAGCACATAATGGAGAGTATGGAAATGTGTGTGTCCATCCAAGGTCCAACCCATTAATATTGGTAAGACATTTACCCACGCCAATCAGAATGTGCCAATTTGCCCTGTTGTGTGATAGAATCATTAGTTTTTACTGATCATTAGTTGGTAGTCATGGGCAATCTGAACATGCTGATTTAACAAAACAGATAAAAATAAAGAAATGTAATCATAAAGTGAAGCCCATGTTCCCATCCTCATTAACTCAAGTGGTTGGTGGGCAGACATTAAGAGAAGGCGAGTCTGTTTGGGGTTATCGCTTCCTACATAGCCGGAGCCCTAAGAGAAGTGTCCCTTGTGCTCTTGTCCTTTCAGTGCCCTTGGAGGCTCCTCAGCTCTGCATATCCCAGCCTTTCCCGGAGGAGGATGTCTCATTGATTATGTGCCGCAAGTGTGCCACCTACTCACCAACAAGGTAAAAGCCGGTCTCCTGACCCTCCCCTCGTGAGGCTCCGCCCTCCAGCGGAGCCCCGCCCCCGCGCTGTCGGCGTTGGCCTGCAGGCTGTCCTCTGCACCCCGTCTCAGCTTCAGCTGCCACCTGACGCCGGCCGTTCCTACTTCGAGTTACAGTTCATCCATTTCTCTCCCTAGTTCCTTGTGCTCCTTCTTCCTCTCCTAAGGATTCTGACCTCCCGTTTCAGTCTTATCTTCATCTTTTAAATTTCTACCTCCTCCTCCTTAAATTTCCTTTATGTCCTAAGTTTTTGCTAGATCTTGCACCTTTGAAGTCCTCCATTTCCCAGTTATCTCGTGCTGCATGCATGCATGAGTGTGGGTGTGTGTGAGTGTGTGTTTGCCACCAGTGAGTATCAAGGTAATTCACTAGAACTGCCTTCACCTCTTTCTGCTTTTCTCTACCTCACTTTTTGCTACTCAGTGCTTGATTCTCCGCGTCCCGTCTAGGAGCAGCTTGCCAGAGTCCCACTCCCAGGGGCAAGATTTCCAGGTCAGCTGGTCCGGTAGGCAGGCCCATCAGGTTATCTAGAGCTTTCTCTTAGCTGCATGAATGAGTCAGTACATTGGCGACTAGCTGAGTTTACATAAATGGCTATTGCCAGATGTTTCTAAAAAGTATAAGTATATACTTGTTAATGCCCAGCCGGTGTAGTTAGCTGAAAACCAGAGATGTTCGTCCACAAGCAATACTGACTTTCTTTCTTCCACATCGACTGACTCCGTTTGCTCAGTTCCCAAAGTACTGTTTCCTATGCTCCTATTGACTTGTGCTCATTGGCTTGGAAAAGAAATCTTTTGTTTGTCTCTTTCTTTCAAAAGATAGCTCATCTCTGTAGAGGAAATATTTTTAAAGTACAATAATATTTCAGAGGCTTCAGTATTATTTTTTAAATGTCAGGGAAACGAAAATCTGGCAAGTCTGCAGTCTCTGGGCTTGGCGCGGACTCCAGGGCATCTAACTCGTGGGGTGGTTGCTTCTCATTGGACCAAATTCCCCCAGCCTCTGCCCTCCTTCAAAACTGATCGGAGGATAGAATTCTTATTTACGTTGTGGGACTTTGCACTGCCTTCAAATCTGTGTCCCAGTATTATAGAGAAACATACGAATTTGGTCTTCCAGAACTGAGAAGAAAAGCCTTTTTTTAAAGCTCTCCAATTGAGATTAATTTCTAGTCATACATTTTCCTCAAAAAAAAAAAAAATTCTATTACCATTTTCCCAGATATACAAGAATCAGTCTGTTTTTCTTATCTGGTTCCCTTTCATTAATTTTACTTGTCTTTTAAAATTGATGTTCTTATGCTTGCTACAAACGAGGACAGTATGGGCTGCTTTTAGAAACAATCTCTTCAGATGAATTTCCATAATTACGTTGGAATCTATCTTTATAGCCAGTTTTGTTGTGGGTTTCTGTTAAAATGGTTTTCTGTTTTTAAAATCAAGTACACAGAACTGTTTTCATCCCCTTTTTAAACAAAGCCACTTAAGCAAACTTATCATCTGTTTTTCTTTTCCCAAAATAACATTTCTGATCCTGCATTAAGCCTGCAAAGTAAGCACTGTTTTTATAAATTGACATAAACCCCTATTATATAAATAGAATTGTTTTACTTCTAAAGGGTACAAAGTGGGCTATCACTACCAATTGTGTCAAGGTTATTTCAAGCACTTTATCTCAAGCTTTTGTTAGCCATGGAAACTCGTTGTGGCTACAGCCAATATAAACAATTTGGGGGGCCTCTTTCTCCCCTGTTTCTTTGAGCCATTTCTTTGAGGACATTATAAGGAATGTATTTTTGTGTTAGTAGCTGGTGGGCAAATGACTAACTTTCAGATGTCCAGCTTAATAAGTTCACAATTTTTTTTATAAAAACTGCCATTTGGTGATAACAAGGAAATATAAAAAGGCAAAATAAAATCCCCTATTGTAACACTCCTTTCCTGGATATTGGGAATTTGAAAAGAAAGAATTCAACGTTGTCCTACCTTTTCAATAGGAGTTGTAGTTCAGCATAAAATAGCCCCCATTTGATGAGAGGAAACTCTTCTTTACAGACAACTGCAGGTGATAAATGCACAATGGAGTGATAGAATTTAAAAAGTCGCCATTTTTCGGCTCCTAATGAAATAATTGATTCAGACAAGCATCTCCAGCAGGTACTAAAACCATGAGGTGAAAGGTTGAGAGAGGGGCTAGATCTTCACAGGCTTTGAAAAGTATACCCGCGGGTCACTCCCGGCGGCAAAGGGGAAACCTCCCTTTACAGTGGACTGGTCCTGTTGTAGTCCCCTTTACAGTGGAGTGGTCCTGCTGTCGTCCCCTTAACCAGTGATCAAGCCCACTATCACCTATGAGGTTTTCTTGCCAAAAATTTTTAACCTGAATCTAATCACACCTTTAGTCTAACTTCCAATTTATAGGAAATGTAGGGAGTAGAGGGAAAAGGAAGGAAACAACCAGAGAGTCTAGAATGCAGAACATCCTACATGACAACTAGCTCAATTTCTCTGAAAAGTCAATATCATATATCACATAGACATATGTACACACCCCAAGAGGTACTCTTATTCTACCTTAAAAGACTTTCTAGATTAAATGCCTGATCCTTGATTATACCCTCGATTACACCCTGCCTTTAAAAGAATATTTTGGGGACAACTGGGAAATTGTGACAATGCACAGGATACTAGATGAAGTCAGAGAATGATTGCTAGATTTGTTTTGGGTATGATAATGACATTGTGGCTCTGTAGGAAAATGTCTTGTTTTTTGGAGATACACGCTCACCTGTCTAGGGCCAAACTAACTGTCATGGTGTCTCTAATTTCCTTTGAAGTGTTTCAGCCAAGATTGATTGCTAGCTTGATGGGGAGGTAGATGGCTGGATGAAGCAGCTAGACAAAATATTCACAGTTGTTGAACATAGGTGATGGGGATGTGGGTATTCATTTTACCGTTCTTTCTACTTCTCTGAGTCTCGGAAATGTAAGAAAGCATTTGAGAATTCCCTACTCCTCATCTTCGGGTTCTGTTCCAGGTGCAGTATGTGATTCAAGGGTACCACAAAAGAAGGGAGTATATTGCTGCTTTCCTCAGTCACTTCGGCACGTAAGTTCCTCCTTGTTTAAACTGCATGCCAACAATGTCCTCATGTCCTGATGACCCGAATGTGAGAGCTTAAGAAAATAGCACTTCGTGCTTCTACATACTAGCTTTTCAATGCCATTTTGAGTCTTTTTGGCATGTTGCTCACACTAAAGCTCCTAGGAAGATCGTTTTTAGGATCCTTTGCTAAATCATAGAAGCAAATCTCTTCCTTGGAGCAGCATCATGACTAACCACAAACCCAGCAGTAACAAGGGCAGCACTGCCTGCTTGTTCTAGGGCTCTTTACAGTTTGCGCAGTGCTTTTCACCTCCGTCTGCTCCCAGGAGTCATGAGTGAGCCAGCCATATTGGCACGGTTGACTCAAGAAAGACCTGAAACTTTGAGAAGCCTAGTAACCCGAGGGAAGTCACCCGCCTGGCAGAGATCGCGCCAGGTGGGAGCCCGGGTTCTCAGGACTCAGGTGTCCCGACAGGGCTCCTACTCGCAACTTGCCACCCAGATCTGGGGACCAAATCCAGCATTAGACCCAAGAGCAGTGACTCCCACTTAGGATTAGGAGGAGGCACAGAGAGGGGAGGGGGACACCTGTGACTGCAGGTAGAGGGGGCATCTCCTCCTGCTGCTACTCACCCCCCCACTCCCCTCCCCCTTCCCGCCTCGGCCCTCCCCCCCTTCCGCTGGGGCTTAGCCCAGGGGCAGAGGGAACCTGTTTTCCCCAGTCTTCTTCAAAAGGTGGGGCATTCTACCCATTCAGGGGCACTGAGCACTAAGGGGGTCAGTGGTCTGCTTATATCCCACCTTATTCTGGAGAAGGTTTATAAATACAAAAAGATATATATAGTAACACAAAATTAAAATTTTAAATAAGGAAATGAATAAATTAGGACCAAAAAAGTGGGAATAGGAAGGAGCAGGTGAAATAAAGAGTAAGGTTGGCCATTCCCTGGGATATAAGTGTGGCATAGTTATGGGGGCAAAATTTCTGACTCCTCAAAAACAATTTTAAGAAGTTTTCTCATTATCCCTAGTGGAAATTTTTATGCGTCCAAAATAGAACTGTCAATATCTAAACAGTGTGACTGTCTCTCACATGAGTCTTTAATACTTACGATTTTTTTCAACTTTATTTATGAACATTTTGAGAAAGTACTTAGGATACAAACAGTGGTTAATAAATGATACCATTGGTCTTCTGATTTTTGAGGAAGATTATCTTTAATATGTATAATTAAAAATGAAGGCGCTAGCAGAGTAACCTCCCAGGTAGGGTGTGTGTCCCCCCTCACTCCGCTGGCACACAAGAAAAATAGGAAAACTGCATTTACATCTTTTTAAAAATCTCATTCTTGGGGCACCTGGGTGGCTCAGTTGGTTAAGTATCTGCCTTCTGCTCAGGTCATGATCCCAGGGTCCTGGGCTTGAGCTCTGCATCCTTAGGCTCCCTGCTCAGCGGGGAGCCTGCTTCTTCCTCTGCCCCTCCCCCCAGCTCATGCTCTCACTCTCTCTCTCAAATAAATAAATAAATCTTAAAAAAAAAAAACCAAAAAACTCCTTCTTTTTAAATATACATTTTGTATGTGTTTTATTATGCATCCAACACAGTAATATAGTCGTACCTGTATACAACTACTAAATCAAATACAATTGCTATTATATTACTATACTGTGTGCATAATGAAAAGGATTCTGTGCTTGTTTTTACTTACAGCATGCAGGATCTGAAAAGTTTAGATAGCAGTGTTGTAAAATACTGAGTTGATTACAAATTCATGAAAAGAAATATAAACTGATGAATAAAATTATTAACCTAAGTCAGAAGATCTGAATGATAGACTAACAGTCTTTGAGCAAATCACGCAGCCTTTAGTGTCTTAGTTCCTTTACCTTTACAGTGAGTTCCCCCTTCCTGCTTAAACTGGGAGGCCATCAGGATTGACAGTCTGATTGGCCTGACTCAGCCAGGGAGACAGCAGACGCCTCCTGGTGTGAATGACAGAGACAATGATGTCTGTCCTCAGTGTGTGGTTAGTATTGTCATGTTATGGTGACATGTCCCAGGCATCAGCTCTTGTGGAAAATGGGGGAGGCGAGCCTATCGGAAGTCTACCCAGGCGCTTAAGTGGTCCAGGGCCGTTCTCCTTGACATGTGACCCGTGTCCTGTGTGTCTCCCACCCGAACCAGCACCCACCCAGCTAATATGGCTTCTTCGTCTTGAGCCTGGTGGGGAGGACAGGGGCCACGAGTGAAAGGATTCCAAGTGCTTTGGAAGAAAATAATATAGATTCCTAAACTGAGTAACATTGTCATTGCTCATTACTGCTTAGTGGCTATGTGAAAGTGAGACTTAATCATCACCCAGAAAGTAGTGTCGTTGCTGACCTGATGGCTTCACTTGTCCTGAAGTCATAATAGTACGTAGCAAAACTGAAACTTAAACGTAGATGCTGTCATTCCAAACCCCACGTCCTTCCTATGGTAACACTCCCTTAACGCTAAATGCGTCTCAGATTCAATCACCGTGATTTTATGAATATGTTCTTTACTTGGTTCCATCTCTCTTATGCCTTATTTTGATGAGGGTTTTTTCTTTGTGTGTGTGTGTTTTTATCACCTAGAGGCGTCGTGGAATATGATGCAGAAGGCTTTACAAAACTCACTCTGCTGCTGATGTGGAGAGATTTCTGTTTTCTTGTGCACAGTGAGTATACTTTTGCTGGGAGCATGTCAGCATACATTTACAAAGTACGAAATCATATGTAAAAATGACTATGAAAACCTTTAGTGTCCTGATGTGGTATGTGGTTCCTTTTACTTTAGTATATTTACCCACATGGTCTTAAAGAGAAAATACCTCTAGACCAGTGGTTCTCAACCAGGTATAATTTGCCCCTCGGCAGATGTTTGGCAGTGTGTGAGAACATTTTTGATTGTCAGGATTGAACAGGGCGGAAGTGGGGATTGTGGCTTCTGGCATTTCGTGGATAGACGGCAGGAATGTTGCAAGACAGTCCCCCAACAGCAGCAAAATTATCGGGTACAAGATGTCAGTAGCGCCGAGTTGAAGAAACCCTGCCCTGTGTCCCGGGTTCCAGATTTCTGTTTCAAAGCGTCTTCCCAGCATGAGGTTCCAAAACTGTCAGGATTATTCAAAACATATTTGCTTTGGTCATGTGGTTATCATCCTTATTAAGGGAAAAGACTACAGCTTTGATAATAATATAATAAATAGTTAAAAGGTGAGACAAGTTGGAATGTATTCCCAGCATCACTTTTCAGTTTTATTCCATAGACAGCCATCTTATTTTAAATGCTTGTTGTGTTACATTAATCAATGAGTCAATAAACTTTGGTCCAGCTTTCTCTCTCTCTTTTTTAAATTAATTTATTTATTTTAGAGAGAGAGTGGGGTGGTGCAGAGAGAGAGTCCCAAGCAGACTCTGCACTGAGCATGGAGCTCCCTGCGAGGCTCGATCTCAGGACCCTGAGATTGCGACCTGAGTTGAAACCAAGAGTTGGCCATTTAACCAACTGTACCACCCAGGCACCCCTGGTCCAGCTTTCTCTTAATAGATAATTTGAAGTTTCTTCTGTTTATTTCTTTGTTATGTAAGAACCATTGACCCATGGTGCCAGGTTCCAGTTGCAAGTCAACCAAGACCTTTATTCTTTAGTAATTTGACACGGACAATGCCCAGTCTTCAAGCCAAAGACACAGAAGTTCCAGCTCTCCCAAGTCAAGTTACAGAAAAGCAGTGGGCTGGGGTAGACTTCACCTAGTGGATAGAACTACCCTTGACCTTTAATAAACTATTCCAGGAAGAGGCGCTTTGGCCCTATTTAGCCACAAAGGCATTGGTTTGGGGGTTTTTGTTTCCCCAGCAGACTGACGTTCTTGGTTGTGATTTGTGTAGACTAAAAAAATGGTTCTGAAATTCATTTGTCTTACCCCATTTCACACCAACAGACAGTAAGGGAGGAAAGCCTTCAATACCATGGTATAATCTGCACAGAGAGAACGGAGAGTTGGCTATGTTTTTAAGGTGTTTCCCAATGATAAACACCTTGCCATGCAGTGCTTCTTATTGAGCTTCTACTCTATAGCGAGTTATACATTGGGACCATCTCTTCAGATGCATCTGAAGAATGCAAGCATATTGCTGTGTATTAATTATGTGCACAGATAAAAAGAAATTGGAGAGGTAAGATTTTAATTTGGGTGTTCCTCCAACTAGTTGCACGACATTGTTCAAATCACTAGGACAAGATTCCCTCCACTTGAGTTTCCTCATGTGTACACTGGGGATCTGGTTGTTAAGTCCTGTGGAGACACTCAAATATGGAGCTTAACCCATTACACAGGGCCAGGTGGAAGAGGGAGCCTCACAGTCAAGGCCTCCTGGCAATCTCCTCTCTGCCTGCCATCTTATGTGGCCCTAACTGGTACTTCCAGCCACCACTTTTGATTGTCACCTTATGTGTTGCTGTTTTGTTTTTTCATTCTGAGCCTTAATTCCTTTGTGAGATCTCATTTCCTACTTGCCATATTCACTTTGTGCACCATCCTGATCCCAGTGATTCTGCCTCTAGCCTGGTAACCTGCCCCTAGATCCTGACTGCATCCTTGGTTTGTCTCTCATGACCCTGGACAGTTGCCTGGGTGATCCGGTTTGTGTGACTCCCCTAGCGCAGCTCAGCAAGAGGGGCCTGTGCCCTGCCTCGAGTGGTGGTGGCGACAGTCAGAAGCCTCCCGGAGTGGCTCTGAGAGGACACAGAAGGAGGGACACACAGAAAGACAACTGCAAACGTTAAATTAGAGGAATGCTCAACCAAAGTGGCATGAAATCTCAGCTCTTTAAATGAAATTTACTTTGGTTGTCTAGCCGTGATTCTGTTTTCAAAAATCTTGATGTCAGATCATATCAGATAGAAGAGAAAAAAGATATTCTTAGCATTGCTCATTCTCACCTGTGCTTTCCACATGCAACTCAAGAGTCACTCTTCTGGTGGTGGCAAGCAAGAATGACGCCCAGGGATAAAGGAGTACTCACCTGCAGCTCCTGCACTCCCTTAGTAGGCCATTTGGTGTTACAGCACTTCTCGTTTCTGTGGAAGGTCTGTTCCCCAAAGGATGTTTCCCCTGGTACCATGTGTCCAATATTTCTTACAGCTCCTTCTCCACCTTCTGTCTTAGCTTTCCCAAGCCAGACATGTAACATGCAGTCCCAAAGTCATATTTTCATTTAGTTTTGGTTACCTTCTCCAGAAATGTAGAACCCACGGGCAGTCTTTGGAACAACTACAAGGACTTCGGGATTCATTTAACTTACTTTTTCCAGAGTGTTTCCTCAGGCTGTTATTCTCCTCCTCCCTAGGCTGCTTGCCCCTTGTGTCTTAGCGTCACTGTCTACACTTATGGTTCTTGGGCAGATATGACCTTGTCTGTGAATCAGGGGACTTGATGCTGTTTCCCACTCCATCATTAACACACAGCCTGTCTTTAAATAAATTATCCCTTCCCTATTGCTTCTTCTATCTAAAATGTAGGACTTGGCTGCATCAGAGTGAAGCTTGGTTGGATAACGTGTCTTATTCCATCATGCAGTTAAGCATCTGACACTTTCCTTTGGAAGTGTCTGCTTGCTTGGTTACAACACCCAAAGGACCACTTGTTCCCTTTTTTTCTTTCCATGAGGATGGGGGAGTAAATATGGGCTGGCAGAGACTTAACATTGCTGTGAAGTATTCTGAGTTTTCAAGAACATGAAGAAGGAAGGAAATGCCTAGAGATGGAGCCAGGCTTCCGGGGCTGGTTCCACTGCTCGATGGAGAGTGGATACCTGGCTGGACACCAAATAACATCCCTGCTCTCCTTCCTATCTCCCCCCTCTCCCAGGCCTGGGAAGAAGATGGTCACTAGGGCAGGTGCTGGTAATAATTCTGAGCATTTTGGATGCTAGAGGAAAGAGGCACTCGTCTCTTGAGGCAGATGGCTCTGACCTCACACTTTGCTATAGTGTGCGGAAGCAAGAATGCCCTCGGGGAAAACATTGTGCATATTCTGGGATCTCTCACAAGACACTGCAACCTCCCCACATTCTGACAGTTTCAGGAGTGGGGATGTGGCTGTGATCATGGCCGTGGAGTTTTTTCATCCATTTATTCCTTCTTTCCTTCCTTCCTTCATCCATGATCAACATACTGCGAGACTTGAAACCATGCAAGGATCAGGGAGTGCTGCCATCCGAAAACTGTTTTCAGGAAGGTTTCCTGGCCATCATCTAAGAATTGTTTGTAGTGGCTATGGAGGTAATTCCATATTTGCCAAGCTCTGGAGGGAGATGTTATCTTTAAGCCAGCACCTTTTCAGAATGCTGGGTGACAAGAGAACCAGTCAGCCAAGCACAGTAACACAGAACAAAAGCAGTCACTGGGAGAAACATCAGCTCTTCTTCATGGTCCCAGAGAGGAGGCAGCCGCCTGTGGCAGCAGGATTGCTGCTTCGAAGTGGAGGGTATTGAGATCTGTGACTCCCAAGGCAAGTGAGAGAGCGTGTGATTGTATGACAAGCTGTCTTTTCCCATCACCCGTAAATCCTTGGTAAGTGACCCTTTGAGTCATCCAGCCTGGACCAGAGGCCATGTCTCCCTGGCGAAATGCCTGTTATTCTAAATCTGACCATTTGGGCTGTTCCATTTAATTTCTTATCCTCTCTACCCCTAACCCAATCACTTTAACCCAATTCAACTGAGTTCTGGGTTTATTGAGAACCTGTATGTGCTCAGTACTGTGAAAGTTCCCAGGGGATATAAGTAACTAACTCAGGCTTGACCTTAAGACACTTAGAGTCTGGCATAAGAATTGGCAAACTACATCCTGCAGGCCAAATCCCACCCTCAGCCCGTTTTCAGATGGCCCTCAAGCTAAAAGTAGTTTCTGTGTTTTTAGAAGGTTATTGGGAGTGGGGGGAGGGAGAATAGGCAACAGAGGTGGTAAAGCCTAAAATACTGACTCTTTGACCCTATACAAAAAACGTTTGCAGCCCCAGGTCTAGTTGCTGAGAACAGAGATCAGATAACGGTGAATTATAGTGGTATGCATTTTTTAAAACAAATAGTTTGTGAGCTTGCCTACTATATGCCAGGCACAAAGAGACATAGGGCAAAGAGAACTTCATGTGTTTTATATATGAGAGAGATGTAGAAAAGGAGAGAGACCCTCCCTAGTGGAGTCTAATGAGAGAGACAGACAATAAAGAAGTAAACGATCAGATACATAAATTTCAAATGCTGACAAATACCATAACGGAACAAAGCAGGGGGCCACAGAGACCGAGGGGAGGTGTTGTTGGGTCGGTCAGGGAAGACCAGTTCCTCAGCTGAGGGGAGTAGACTCATCTCCTTGCCACAAAAACAACGTCTTGTAGACTATTTAGCAGCAACAAGCAAGATGGCTACTAGGTAATTCAGTAAAACCAAAATTGTGAGGTTTTTTAAAACTTGCTGAGTTTTTGGATGCAAATCACGTTTTTATATAAATAAATAGATTTGAAGAACAAATCAGAATCATTAAAGTGATTAAAATCAGGAACCACAATGTTATATGTTAGAATTCGTTTCAAAGCAAATCTATAAAAAGTGTAGTATTATTTTAAAATTCATATGATTACCTCAGATGAGGCATATATAAAGATTTGTGGCT